TCAAGCGGAGGTGTCGAGTGCCGTTAGCCAATGAGCACGGAGGATGGTTCCTTCCGCCTCATTGCGCCGCTCGCGTTCAGTCACGAGGTCGGCCACCGAGCAGCGGGCGGCCGCCTCCGCGTTCCCCCTCGCCGCTCGCTGCAGTTCCCGATGTCTTCCGTTTGAATAGCAGTTCGGTAATACAGATGCATTGAAGCCAATGGGCCAAACCATACCGACCGAATGGCGATGTGCGTGTAACAAGAGCGCTTTGTCAATCCACTACCAGATGAGGGTCTCCCCACGTCAGGCAGCATAGATGTGAGCAAAGTACACAACAAAAACAACTCTTCGTGCCCTCTGCTGACGCCCGCCTTGTTTCACGGTTGCCGAGCAGAGATCCAAAACGCTAAACGGCACTCGCGTGGACAGGTTCCGACGATGACGTGGAGGATTATCTTCTGACCAAATGGGATGCGGAGGGCTCAAAGCTCCACACAGACAAGTTAATTACCCCAACCTTCCCAACTCGCTTTGCTGTTCTTCCATCTCCCGGCCAGTTCAAAAGGCCCAACGTGCTTTGGAGTTTCACAAATCGCGCGTGTGATCCATCAACCCTCCCCCTCCAAAGCACTGAACGACGAAGACAGCGATGATGCTGTTCATTTTACCGCGCCTCCGATTAGCACCGTTGCCCATGTATGGTGCAAAAGAAGCTCAACATAGAGTACAATATATGTACATACGTACCGTAAAAATAGGCGCCGTCTGATTCGCAGCGGACGCTAAAGACCCTTTCTGATATCATTCGCAAACAGTAAGCCACACTGCGTGCCGTCATCACGGTCCAAATTATTACAAAAGAATGACCCGCAAATTACTCAAAACGCACGGAGCAATCGCCGTCCCGCATCTACGACAACTTGGCGGGACCCTCTTGGAAAGGGTCGTGAGACTCGGCGATGCTCTCCTGGGTAAGCAAGCGTCAACGCCACCTGCAAGGGAGAGCAGCAACGTGGAGGGCAGGTGGTGACTTTTTTAGCAGTTGCAGGGTGTGGGCAGGAGGAAGTGATGGCCGAGGTGTTGAGGCAACAATGGCACCGACCACGATGGCCCCCTTCGACTCGAGTCACCCCTCAGGAGCTGCGTCAAATAGACTCACAGTCATAGACTCACAGTCGAGCAAATCTGAGATCGAAAACAGCCGGATGAACCGAACGTCTTGGATGCGATTTTATATTTTTATCGCAGTGATATCATTTTGTTTTTTTCATTGGAGCTGTGCGATTGGGTAGAGACAAACAGTAATTATTCCCATTATGTACCTGGGAAAACCTCACCGAGCCTGAAGGGGTTTTATTGAGGATCCTGCATTGGGATATTTGGCCATTTCCTTTTTCTGTAGCTTTTCGGATACAATTGGAGCGCTCCTTACGAGGGGAATAACAGATATATGTGAAGTGTCTGCTGGACCACCATCTCATGGCCAAGTCAGCCCAAGCAGACAAAACGGCCTAAATCTACCACACCTGTAGATCAGAGCCGACAACAAAGATGAAACGCTCAAACTCGCTCAGTTTTCATTGTGCACAGATTTGATTTTCTAAGACTTTAAACGTCTGTCCTAAACGCTCACGTTAACAGTTCCATAAATATTACCTTGATTCACACCGCACACACACACAAAATAACATTTCAATCTTGATTTTGTGCTGTACAAAATATACTTTATTAAAAGACATTATACTTGCACACTTTCCGATTAAATTCTGAGTGGGCGTGCGGCTTTAAGAGCACCCAAGGCGTGGAGAATGAGAGCTCCAACCAAGCCCGTAGTGGTGACCCTGCCTCTTTGTAAAACTCCACACACAAACACACACAAAGATGCACCGAATCTCCCAAAGAACTGCCACCCCATTATACTATTCCACTTCGCGTAAATATTATAAAGTACAATAATATATATTTAAAAAATTACTATTACACTTCACGTAATATTATAAAATAAAGTATGAGAAATTTAAAATGTTTTCAAGTAAAGAATGCACACTTTCCTTTGTAAAACACAAGTGTATTTATTCTGTGCTCAGTTGGCCTCAATTTCCTAATACAGTTTCTGCTCTTGAAGAAATGATTGCTTCAACAATTCAACTGTCATTAATTCATCGGCTGCGTTTACACTTACAAACAGGAGCCTTTCTCTTTATTACTCCACTTCCCCATGGCAGATCTTTGGCTCAATCTTCCCTCCCATCCTGTCCTATCTTGAGCCGATTCTTCACTGCACGGCTCCTTCCGTCAATTGAGTCAAGCGACTTCCTTCAATTTCTGCCTCTTGGCCTCTTTCCCCAAACTTCCATCGCTTCTGTCGTCGTGGTTTTCACATCTTAGAAAGTGTCGAATTCACATCGTTTTGTCCCCTTTCTAGATTGTTCTAATTAAACGTCCGTCTCTCCTCCTGAACCTACGCCAAGTTATCCTTCCGTTCCCATTCAACTCTCCTGCGATGAGTTCGAGTAACAGAGGTATAAATATATATATCCCGATCTCAAGTGAGAGAAACATTCAATTCACGTGCAAGTTTGGATTATTTCCACGTGTGTGCTTTATGCTGTTAATACCTGTGACACCCCCGCATCCTACTTCAGACACAAACCTAATTCCCCACAAAGTAAAATAAGATGTCTTTTGGCAGCTCGTGATTTGGCGAGGGGGGCGGCGGCGGGGGTGGGGGGGGTAGCAATTCGTTTCCGATTGTAAACCCAGTGATCAGTCACCTTTGTGCCGGCTGGAGACGGATAACAGCAGGGCTGCACGCTCTCACGTCACGACCGTCAGCCACCAAATGGTCAAGAAAACGAAGACGGCACAACGGCCGCCAGTTATCGTGTCCTTGTAAAGGCCTTGTAAAGGCTGCTGAATGACGACACTCGGCCCTGCGTGGCTGTTTAATTGGCCAGCGGTGAGGAACCCTTGCCTGCTCACTGTGGGTTCGGAGAAGGCAGGCTGCATGCACGTGGGAGCATAGTACAGGAAAACAACATAGCCCCACAGCAACCTATGCCCACCTGTTTCACCTTTGGCGATCGCCCATCGTAGCACTAAATCAAGATCAACTCTGCTTAGCATCTGACCGATTTTGGGTCGAAAGTATATTTGTAAACAATGAGATTGGGTTGATGCTGTTGATGCAACACTCTTAACAGGACAGGTCTTATATATCGTACTGGAGAAAACGGCACCGCCCAGAGAAGACCCCCCCATACACACACACACACACAGGCAAGGGGTCAATACGCAGAAGGTCCGCACAAATACATTCAAGTACCCACCGCTGTACCGGCATCTCCTGGTCATTTTGCAACTCAAGCCTGCGACATCTGGTGACCGACTATTTAAGGCTCAAATCTGCTTCGCTTCTGATATTATGAAATCGGGCACAATGCAGTGTGCCCTCCCCCGCAGTGGCAGGCAGGAACGCTGGCATGTGTGTTTCTCAGTCCTTCCTGCAACGGTCTTTTTGCATTAAACCTCAGTCAGCAGCAGTAAAAAAAACACCCTCCATAAAAATAGGTTTTTGGGTTAGTTCAATGGATATAAATGTGTCGTTAAACCCGCCACCACCCGACACAGCCAATTAAGTTTTTCACGTTAACAAAACATGCCAATTCGTTACTAGTACAGCACACCGGTGTGTTGTTAGAGTAAACCCACAACATTTACAATTCGAGTACGACGTTTCGCCGGTAATTACAACCAGCATCGTCAGGCGACAGCCAGATTTGTGTGCGATATTTTTTTTTAAAAACTAATTGCCTGTTTCGGGTGGTGGCGTGTTTAACGACACATTTATATTTACGTGATCTAACCCCAAAACCTATTTTATGGATAATATTGGTCGCGAAAGCGTCCGTGTTAAACTAGAAACACCCCGTTGGTATTTTAAACGAACCTGTTGTCCACCCGTATAAGTTCCCTGGAGCAGCCACCACGTTACACATTAAACAAGGTTTATATATTCTTGGTTCTTTCGGTAAAGTCGCCACGTAGAAGGGAAACAATAAAATAATAAAAATATAAAACAATAAAATTCTCACGACGTTTCAAATTTTTCTTGCTGTGGTTTTCACACGTGATGACGATTGCTTGTGTTGCAGTCGAAAAGTCGTGAGAATTTTATTGTTTTATATTTTTATTATTTTATTGTTTCCCTTCTACGTGGTGACTTTACCGAAAGAACCAAGAATATGAATCCCTGCAGTCACGAAAGCTTTAAATCAAAATTTAAGGTTTATGTATTCGTGCAATCGGTGCACGTGCCGCATAAACATACAGCGCTGTGGTTGGGACACTTGGACCAACGTCCGCCCCCCCTACGTTGTCCTGCAACATTCCACGTTGACTGGAACGTCGGGGGTCAACGATGCACGAATGCGCTGCCCTGCCTACACAAATATCGATGTCACCATTTCTCCCTCTCTCCCCCTCCCCACCCTTTCCCAGCCCCCTCTCTACCCCCATTATGTTAGTTAAAGCTAAACTATTTTTTATTTTACCACTAAAGGTCCACGAAGCTCTGTGGCTCTTTTTCGGAAGCGACCTGGCACACAAATGATAGTTCAACGAAGTGGCTTATCACGTGGAAATGTGTAGCAGCCAACTACTCTTAAACGCGTGATTCTAACTGTGGAGGGGAAAACCGAAGAGCCCGGAGAAAATCCACGCGACCACGGGGAGAGAGAGACACGCAAACTCTAAATATACAGCAGCAGGCATCAGGGTTGGGATCGAACTCACGACCTCCTGCATACCAGGCGAGGGAGTTAACATCTTGCCACCGTGGCACCCTTCATCTTTCCCCTCGCGCTTGCCCCCCCACGTAAGCGGTCAGGTTCTCGCTCGCGCGGTCCCCACGTGGGGTGGAGGCAGGGAGCCCGAATCCACCCCCCCCCCCCCCCCATTAAGCCCCGGCGCGCTGATCGCCGGGTTTATTTCTCGTTTAGTTTCTCTTCCACCTCCTCCACCCCCTCCACCCCCCCCCACCCAGCCTTGTACTGTGACCGGTGCTTTGTACCGAGCTCGTGTTGAGTCGCAATAAATAAAAACATTGCCCCCGTTTCTTACGGCCAGTGACAAACGCCGCTGTGATCTTTCGGGATGGCCTGGGCCGACAAATCGCGCGGTCAAATTTCTCGGCTGCGATAACTTAAATAAGTGACGATGTGTGACTAGTAAGGAAATACTATTTTACCTTAAAGTAGTCAAATGTCACCTTTTCGCTTTCTGGAACTTAACCAAAAGAGCAAGGTTGCTGCGTGAGTTTTCGCGGAAGTGCTGCGCGTCTCTCCAGCGTGTTTTCAGGGGTCGCGCCGCGCGCAATTCGGCACCACGTCCCGACGTTTCGCTCCCGCCACGCGCAACTTCCAAGTCCCTGAGGGAGACTCCCAGAGCAACGTGAAGCGAAACGTTGGACACTCCGCGGAACAGCATGGGGTTACAAAACCTGATACGCATCGGAGAGCAACAAATGTATTTTTCAAGATGATTTCTCCATTGTTGCCTAAATATATGGGCGAGAAGTCAAGCCTGCAGAGTCTCACAGGGCACGGAGTGTGGCAACTGACGGACTGGTGGTGCCGTGTTGCTGGTTCGGCAAGGCCTGCTTTGCCAGTGGTCGTGAAAACGAGGAATAAGTGCACAGCGGTTAGCCGAGGGATGCATAAGGAATTAGGAGAGGGTGGAAGAAAGGACACAGGAGTGGGGAGCAAAGGCTTGTGGGTAAAACCTGGAGTGCCGCCACCATTTGACGTAAGTTCTCACGTTCTTTTCTACGCTTTTTTACTTTAAGTAAACACATTCGCCCTGGTCCAAAAAGCCACCAAAATAACAATAACAATGTATACATACTTTCAAGATACTTCCATGACAAAAACAAAATACATGGCTTTCAAAGTAACAAAATCCATAAATCTGGTTGCAAATGTGCAAAGATTCAGTTAAATAAATCAACATCTTATATCATTCATACTTCTTTGATCAGGTCATGTCATTCCCTTTGGAACTTCAGTATGAAAACAATATAATTTTAGACAAACACCTCCATTCAACTGGGATTCAGGCAGCATCATCATATGCTGCTCTGATTCCAATTTTAAAGATTCAGAACCTTCCCAGCCGTAGTCGACAACTGAACCTGCTCAAATTTGATGTCCCTCCTCCGTGAGAGACCATCTACACGCCGCTTTGATGAGACCTTCCCATCTTAAAATGGAAGTTTTCTGGATTTGGAATGGCTCACAATGTATCGGGGGGTGGGGGGGAGAAACAATAAAAACGTCCTTCTGGAATTTGACGAAACAAACCGATCGGGCAGCCGGATTTCTGGTGCGGCTCGCACGGCTGGCCTTGCCACGGCCCGGCAAAAAAAGGTCCGGCTGACCGGCGTCAGCCGAGGTCACAGCTCTTCGTGCCGTCTCTTGGCGGGCCACCTGGGGTGGTGGAGGACCTTGTCCGCCGCCAGAATGACCATGCGCATGAACTCGCCCACGTCAAACGAGTAGTTGGTGAACTTCGGGTGCTCTCCCATGGTCGGGTGGTGGCCCTGGAAGGAAATGAAAACAACAGCACAAAAGCGTTGAACTTTTCAACCGATACCTGTGGAACGGCGTGGGATGCAGACGGCTCCGGGAAGGCTTTAATCCAGCAGTGGATTGACCGTGGCGGATGATGACGATGATGAATTGTAAAGGCTGCCTTCGCGAGTCTGACACAGCCAAACACTTCCCATCCAGACGCCTAACTAAGCTCAACCCTACTTAGTTTCCAGGCCGAGCCGAGAGCGAGCGCACGAGTGGCTGAGACTCACCTTGTCCTGCGGGAACACCAAGCTGTCCTTCATCCAGGTCATGTAGTGCACACCGCGCAGGTTAGCCAGGTCCATGTAGCAGTGGCGATCGTCGCAGTTGTGGCTGGGTGGGACCACGAGGCATGGGGATTAGCTCGTCGAAGCTCTCTCGCCTGCGCAGTAACACGTACGTTACTCCTGTCTCAAACACCCATCTTCTAACCCAAGTGGTTTATGTAGGCAATCGAAAAACTTCATCCTGTTCTAACAAACTGCATCTGTTGTTAGTTCCTGCTCACAGACCCCTCCCGTGTGGTATGCATATTACTGCCCAATGCACAGAGTCCTCTGTATGTGTGTATGTTGAACATCTTTCGCACCGCATATAGCCAACCGTGCTAATCGGAAGTGCGGAGGGGGGGGGGGGAAGGACAACCAAATCTACTCCCCCTCCGCATTGTCACCTCCTGCGTGTGTCTGTGCGGTACACTGATCGCGGAGTAGCTGGAAACAGCAGCAGCTGTGTAGAAAGACTAGAGTAGAATAAATAGGTAATAATAACATTTCGATTCAGATGGATGATTCATTTCAGCAGCAAGGGCTCCCAATGAGCTGCAAGGCTGTGACGGTACACAATAAGACCACACAATCTCCCTGTCTTATAAAGGACAATAAAAAGCATTTACTTGTTGGGCACAGTGACATAACCCTCTAAACCAAATTGGTGGATCACACGGCCGTGTGTTTTGTGTGTGCGTGGTGTGTATGCGCACATGTGCGCGTGTGCGCGTGTGTGCGTGCGTGTGCGTGCGTGTGCGTGCGTGTGCGTGTGTGCGTGTGCATGTGTGTGCGTGCGTGTGCGTGTGTGTGCGTGTGTGTGTGCGTGTGTGTGTGTGTGCGCGTGTGTGCGTGTGTGTGTGCGTGTGTGCGTGTGTGTGCGTGTGTGTGTGTTCACCCGGGGTAGGGCTCACCGAGCTACACCGGAAGTATAACAGCAAACAATTATAAAATAATAATCTACCACCACCTACGGCTGCAGCGCAAAAACACGGTGGGCAACGTGAACGGGGCAATAAATGGTGTGAAACTGGCAAACCTGCTGGGCTTCGGCGTGGCCACGAGATGACAGGGGGCATGATGGTTTGTGAACCGGATTTTACGAGGGGCATGCCATTGCCTGGGAAGCCTCTTTCTGGGTAACTCTGGTTTTCTCCCAAATACAAAATGTTCCTTCAAGAGAAAGTGGCCAAACATTCCAACTCAGAATCCCCCTGAAAAGAGACTACTGGTACTCACTAATGCTCTCCTACGTAAAAACAGTGGCAGATGCGTGTTTTTGTCATTATTTGTGGTAACATTTGGAATGGCAGTTTTTTTTTTAAATCTAGGTCACAACAATCAGAATCTAGACCTTAACTCAAGTACTCTTCAATGGTTCCCAACCATTCAATAAACCTCTTCTTTGGTTCTTTCGGTAAAGTCACGTAGAATGAGAATAAAATAATAAATTGATAAAATAAAATAACACAATAATATTCTCACGACGTTTCGGCCACAACACAAGCGGCCTTCATCAGGTGAAGGGAGCGAGACTGTCTGGTAGGACAGCGCTGGAGTGCTGTCCTACCAGACAGTCAGCGCTGGAGTGCTGTCCTACCAGACAGTCTCGCTCCCTTCACCTGATGAAGGCCGCTTGTGTTGTGGCCGAAACGTCGTGAGAATATTATTGTGTTATTTTATTTTATCAATTTATTATTTTATTCTCATTCTACGTGACTTTACCGAAAGAACCAAAGAAGATGAATCATTGCAGTCACGAAAGCTTTAAATCGACATTCAATAAACCTTAAGTTTTCATGCACTTTATTCAACCATGAGGTGAAATATGTGGCCATGCGTGCGGGGCTACGGGGAACTCACAGCTCGAAGACCACGGCCCAATCGGGGAGGAAGAGCAGGTGGGTGAGACCAGCGCCGTGCATGCCGATGAAGATGTCGGAGTTGTGCGTGACCTTCAGCTGATCGACAAACCCAATGTGCCTGCGGTGCACCGCAGCAGCAGCACAACAAACGAACGAATGAAGAAAAGACGACAAGATCATTAAGCGAGCGCTCACTAGGAGCTACGATGGCTGGAGGATGCAGGGTCGGGGCGGTGGGACCTGACGGCAATTCGAGCGTCACGCGAGTGGAGGGGGACTTGCGCTGCCGGTGCAAGGTGGTGGATATCGCTCTGCCGCATGGAACAAAACTGTTGTAGCACTTAATGCTAATTCCTTTGTCAAAGCGTTTGGTTTCCTCCCACACAGCTTAAAGGACGCGACCTGGCTTGACTTTCTTAATTCCAACGCTGTCCTCGTGACAGCACGGTCCCTTCACCTGATGAAGGCCACTTGTGTTGTGGCCGAAACGTCGTGATTTGTGTTGTTTTATTTTTTACCTACGTGACTTTACCGAATAGAACCAAAGAGTAGGGATCCCCCCCGTCCACCTTCTAGCCTCTTCGTACCCCCTCGCCTGTTGGGCCCAGTGCAGTTGCACCGCCTGCACACCCGATGGCTACGCCACCGAGTTAGTACCACACAAGTTGAAATCACAACTTCTAAATATGACTGCATGTCAACAATACTCCTTATAGAAACAGTGAAGAGATTTATCCTACAAACAGGAAGGCCTTGCGACTGGGTGATTGGCCACTGACACAAAACGATTGCGCGAGACGAGATGTCGTTCTCAAGCGTGACTGCGTGACACAGGTAAATAACCCATCTTGCCACTAGGCTGGTCTCCGTGTGTCTGCGTGAGCCTGCAGGATTTTATACATCAGTCCTTGTACACAGAGACATATCAACTGGCACGATGTAAAGTTTTAGCCGCAATATTTGCTCACGCTGGCAAAAGAGCTCCTTGTAAATGACGCTACTCTATAAAAGAAAAATGAACTCAATATTATTATTAATATACGTGCCTTGTAATCAATGGGTCGTTACGTGTAGTCGATACAAAACGACGCCCCGTGTCACGGGAAAGCGGCTCACCTGCTGTTGAAGTCCACGAGCCGAACCTCCAGCCAAGACACCGTCTTCATGGCCTTGATGAGCTGCCGGTGACAATCACAGCAATCAATCGGGCTACTGGCATCGTCTGGGGCGGCAGGCCGATGGCACAGTGATAAGACTCGCGTCTCACAGCAAGAAGGGCCTGGGTTCGATTCCCGACTCGCCGCGGTGGGGAGGTGTTAACTACCTCGCCTGGTATACAGAAGGTCATATGTTCGATCCCGACCCCGACGCCTGCTGCTGTATATTCGGAGTTTGTACGTCTCTCCTTGTGGTGGCGTGGATTTTTCTCCGGATCCTCCGGTTTCACCCTCCACATTTAGAAATGTGTGTTTAGAGTATTTTGCTGCTATAAATTTCCATGTGATAAGCCGCTTCGTTGAGCTATCATTTGTGGCCAGGTCGCTTCTGAAAAAGAGGTAAATAGCTCAGTGGGGCCTTACTTGGTCTAAATAAAAATAGGTAATAGTTTAGTTTAATAAACTCGAAAGTTCTTTGTGTGTGCAGTTTGTATGCACTCCTCCTGTTCTGACTGAGTTTCGTCCGGGTTCTCTGGTTTCCTCCCATAGCTAAACAAAAAGAATCGTACAATGCATCTGGTATTGGCCAAACATCCCAACGTGGCAACATTTACTGAATTGGGATTACGCACTGCAACATCAGCCAAAAACTGTGAAAGTGCAGCAATGTATTACTCCATGTCAGTAAACAGCCGCATCCGCAGATTTTCACAGAACCACTGGTATGTAATTTATTGACCCCAGAGGGATGATAGGCTAGGAGGTACGGGACTTTCTCACGTAAAAAAAAGGCCAAACTAAATATGGGGGGAATTGATTTTGCAGTTGTTGGCGACCAGGCTGAGACCATTAACTCGCACCTTTGATGAGAGTGTTGTATAGTCATGCGTGGTTGAAACTCAAGATTCGAATCCGGGATCTCAGCAGTGATGGCTCAGTGCTCTGACCCCTGAACTAATCAACCCTTCTCCAATTCAACGCATTTCTACCTTAGCTGACATTCTCACAAAATGCATTACCTCGCTCCTCTCACTTGCAGTAAGGCAATATTTTTATCTTGGTCACCCATCCAAGTAATGTGTGTTAAATGTCCTTCGCACCGCAAGTAAGCCAACCGTGCTCATCGGAGGTGCGGACACAGCCCGGCCTTTCTTAGCCTCTGTGACCCGACGAGGTCTGGCCACAGAGCTGTAGACACGACTGTCAGTGGGTCGTGCGTCAGTGTGTGTGTGTGTGTGTGCATGAGCGAGTCCACATCGTCAGGGTAGCCTCACCTCGTCCTGGTTGAGGATGCGGCGGAACTGTGTGCTGCGCTCGAGAAGCGTCACGCGCACCTTGTCAGCCTGCAGCCGCCACTCACGCGCAGCACAAAGACAAAGGTCCCCCACTGTGCAGCCTTAACAGACTGTTAGCGAGCAGCACCTATGAAGGCAGGCACGGCACACGAGGAGGTGGGTGGCCAGCACCACACCCGGATGCCTTTTTCTCCCTAGTGGTAATGTTTACACACTGCACCTGGTACTCATTCGAGGCCGAGTCAACCTTGGGGAGGCCCAGGACTGGTTTCGATAATCGTCACTGCTGGTGTCCGTAAGTGGGAATCGAACCCGGGCGGCAGGGTTCGTAGTGCAGTGTTCTAACCGCTACACTACCGCTCCCCACACTCCCCAGCATACGCACACACACATCACACTGCGGTGAGTAATGTGGTAGGCACACGACTCCCCCCAATCACGTGCTGTCAAAGTAACAGTGGGTGGTAGGCTACGTAATGATGCACTGGATTATCAACTGAAGCCCAATGGAGAGACGTACCCATTGCCGGCTCAGGGCCAACAAATGAAGATTCATACCACTCCGTTACTTGTTTTGACAGGGAGACACTTTTAACTTTTCAATGCATGCCACGGCTGAGCGCCCCCTTTGCCGATCTGGGAGAGCTCCCTCTGGGCCAAACCGCTTGCAGGGCAACATTGGCCTTGTGCAAAGCACGCGAAGGGTGTCGTGCGTCATGTGTCATGTGTCGTGCGTCATGTGTCATGTGTCGTGCGTCATGTGTCGTGCGTTGTGTCATGTGTCGTGTGCTGCGCACCGTGTGTTGTGCATCATGTGTCGTGTTGTGCGTCGTGTGTTGTGCGTCATGTGTTGTGTGACGTGTGTTGTGCATCGTGCGTCACGTGTCGTGTGACGTGTGTGCGCGGGGATTCGCCGCGGGTTCCTCCGGGGACCTTGGGCCACTCCTGCGCGACGCGGAGACGGTGCAGCACGTGCTGGGAGAAGGCCCGGAAGAGCCCCGTGCCTGAGCAGGTGGGAACCTGCACGCAGACGCCCTGGGGTCAACGGCCACTCGCTCCCCCACCTGCCGTCTGGCTAGCAGGCACTCCGCAGTTTAAGAGACTTTTGTATTGTGACATCCTGGTTTTCTGACCGGAGATGTTCGAGGCTGAAAAACGTCGAACCTAACAGCCGCTCAATCTCGGTTGTGAGAACTGCTCCTCGACTCGCCTGGGAGCTAATAATGGTAACGATTGGCGCGTCGTCACGCGCCGCTTGCACGCATAACAATTTCACGTGAACTGCGCGCTGAACTTTCTTTCGCACCGTACGTGGCCAACCGGAGGTGTCTCACGAGCAGAGTCAGGCTCGCTTGTGTTTGGCTATGCCTGGGTGTGGTGGAGGGCTTCACGACAAAAATGTGGCAAGATCAAAAATCGATGAATCATATTGCCTGCTAAAAAAAACCCATACTGTTTATTCGATTAAAAAGGGAATTGTAAAATCGACAGTTCCTGTTGCGTGCGTGCGTGGCGCTGTAGGCTGCTGCTGCTGCTGCTGCAGGGGACTAGGTTATTAGCAGAGAGCATTACGGCACAATCCACCGTCAGTACTCTACTGTATTGTACCGTACTCCAATGTCGACGTGCCACACGCCTCCACCATTCTGCACTGACCCCGTGCGGTAAAGTACGGCCGAACAACCTCCACAGACAGCGTGGGAAGGGCCCGCCCGCCCTCCCTCCCCATCCAGCAGTCGATTAACAATAGGGATGCGGATGTGCGTGTGTGCGCGTTATCTCGGCCGTGTGCGTGCACTCACGAGGGGGGTGTTGTAGAAGAGGCCGTAGCGCATCCTGGGCAGCAGCGGGAAGATGGCCTCCCTGAAGCACACCTGCGCACGGCCACGGGGACAAGGGCACGAGACGCCACTCGCACTAGCACCGCCGCGGTGGCGAGATGTTATCTCCCTCGCCTGGTATGCAGGAAGTCGTGGGTTCCATCCCGACCCTGACGCTTGCTGTATATTTGGAGTTTGCGTGTCTCTCTCTCTCTCCCCGTGGTCGCGTAGATTTTTTTCCGGGTCCTATCGTTTTTCCCTCCACATTTACATTCAACAACACTCGTTTAAGAGTATATTTGGCTGCGATAAATTTCCACGTGATAAGCACTTTGTTGAGCTATCATTTGTGATGGCCAGGTCGCTTCTGAAAAAGAGCTACATAGCTCAGTGGGCCTTACCTAGTAAATAAACATTTTGCTTGGGCTGCTTCACCCAAAAACAACTGGAAAATATCTCTTCTACAATGACAATAGGCTAATGGACTAAAAAAATGCTTTGTATTTTTGTTTTCATTTGTCCAAACAATCTCTTGTCTATAAACAGCCGATTGTCTGTTTTACTTTTTTCTTCTTCTTCTTCTTCTTCTGTGTACTAGAAGAAAATAAGAGACAGCTGTCTCATTCATGATCTTCTCATAAATCCTCCTGTACTCGGAGAACTAAAGGTAATCTGGTTTTTTAAAATGTAATAATTCTCTAAGATTTTAAGAATGTTCTGGCAAAAAAATTACATTCATAGGAGCCCAAATGAAAACAAAAAATCGAGCAATATTAAATTACCCGGATTTGTCTTCTCCCACCTCTTCAGCGAATATGGATAAACCGTATGGGTTGACAGGTGTGCAGTAGGCTTGTTTGAGCATACTTCATGCTGGGGAGTGCGGGTTGGTGAAGAGGGGAGTGCCAGAGCTGGTTCCGAAATCACTCGAAATATCAAAATTATCATTATCACTCACCGCACCTTACTGCAAAAAATATTTTTTTCACAATACGGAGACTCCTTTATTTACGAACACGTTAGGTTCCAGAGGTCTGTTCGAAAGTCGATTTGTTCGTAAGTCCAACTTTTCTCCTGTCGATTCCTAACGTGTTGTACGGCATGTACACTAAACACGGGGAATGGCTTTAAAAGTTGTATAATCTCCTGTAGATGTAGATGCCACTGGTTCTTCACGTTCTCTAGATGTAGATGCCACCACCGCCATCTATCGTGTGGCGGTGGAACTTACGATTCTCGGTCCAAACAGGCAACTGGACAAGGTTTAATAGCGTCTCTGAAAGTTCATAAGTAGAGGAGTCCCTGTAATCGTTATACTTCTGACGATGCCGTTAGCGCTGACCGTGACCCCAGGGCGAGGCGCGTACCCGCTTCTGGTCGTAGTCCTTGAGGTGGGTGATGTTGAAGTTGGTGAAGGCACTCCAGGTGTCGCTGAAAAAGTCTCCATAGCCATAGAAACTCTTCAAGAGCACACGCGCACACACATAAAGATTCCCCCGTGGGGACTAAGGCGCGGTGAGCGAGCACACGTTAAGACTGGCGCAACACGCGAAGGGCAGTGGTTCTGTGGCCAGCGCCATCCCCCGACAAAAAATTGTCTTCCCAGTACCACAGGCTGTGCTGTACGTGCGGACGTTGAACTTCTTTCGCACCGTACGTAGCCAACCGTGCTGATCGGACGTGACGAGACTAAAACGGGCAGGTGGGGGGGGGGGGGGGTCGCGGCCGTGCGCTCACCGTGTCCCACATGACGATGTTGACGTCCTGCGAGAAGGAGCCGTTGATGTGCTGCGAGGTGTAGAGGTTGACGAAGTCGCAGAAGTGGTGGTACATGTTGACTCCTGTAGGCAGCGCACGCATTGACATTGTGCAGATTCATTTTGGCCGCTGTGAAATTTCCACACGCGATTTTTTTTTTGTTGGGCTATCATTTGTGTGCCAGGTGGCTTCCGAACAATAAGTTAATAGCTCGGTGGGCTTTATCTGGAAAGATGGTTTAGTTTTACTTGTATATATGTTTTTAAGTTATTTATTTACCTTTGCTATACTTTGCGCTCCTATCGTGTTTTTGTACTGTTTGTTTTTGTAACGTTCTGACCCGGTCCTGCTGGATATCTGTGAAAAAAGAGCTTCAGAGCTCATCGGATTCCTCCAGTACAAATAAATATTCTGATTCTCATACACCGCAAAACGATGCAACAAAGTTGCAAAACGGATAATATGAGCATCATGGACATTTCGATGTGTCGTCAGCTCCGTAGCGTTAAAGAGGCTGGAGGGGGGGCTGAGCCCCCCTGCAGCCCCTGCTAAATGCAGAGGGGGCCACCTTTTAAATGATCTTATTACGGTCAAGTAAAAAAATGTCGGTACAAAAATTCATAGCATTCCATGATAGGCGCCGCTTGCTATATCTCATTGCGCAGGGGGACAAAGCTTGAGCAGAATGCATAAGGACACCGCAGATCAAACTTCATTCTCCAGGTTTGTTCAACATTAGCACCTCCGGTTAGCACGGTTGGCTACATACGGTGCGAAAGAACTTCAAAATACCGTACATTCATACAAAGACAAAGATCCCCCATATAGCCTTAGCAGACTGTAGGGGCAAGTACTGTTAGCGAGCACCTATAAAGGCCGGCACGGCACATGAGGGGGTGGGTGGCCAACACCACGCCCGGCCGCCTTTGTCTCCCTAGTGGCGATGTTTTACTACACACTGCACCAGCTACTCATTCGCGGCTGAGTCAACCTAGGAGGAGGGCCCACGACCGGTTCTGATAATTGCTAATCACTGGTGTTGGTGGTCGTGAGCACGAATCGAACTTGGGGGGGGGGGGTCTCCGGGTTCGTAGCGCAGCGCGCTAACCGCTCCTACGCTACCGCCACCACCACAACCACCACCATAACGCGAATTGGATGTAACGCGATTCATCGAACGGAACTCCGTCGCGCGAGTAGGAATAAGCGGTTGTACGGCTGCCCCGGCGTAGCGTCGCACAAGGCGGGATACTGCTGGATGCATCTCACGCGTTATCGCGGACTGTGCTTTACCTCATTTTATATATTATAACGCGATTTTTCCATCACGCGGTGTTCTTCAGGGACACAACTACCGCGTTAGAGGAGAGCAGACTGTGCCGCCATGTCGCAGCAACCCTAGTGCAGTCGTTCTTCGTAACATGTTTGCCGAGTAGAGGGCCCAAAGGCCCCAAACCTACAAGCGGCCGCCAGTAACAAACGGCACCATCAAAGTTGTAAGAGATAAAGGGTGCAGCACCTGTCTCGAGTGGAGCATGGCTGTTGTATAAAAGCTTGGGAAAGGAGACGGTGGGAGGGGAGTATCAGAATCAGAATCTTTAGTCAGGACTGGAGCAGGGGGTCGACAACCAAATTAACAAAGAAGGTCCATTTTTTGTTCGAATTCGGTAACAAAAAATAACTCGATATTTCAAGAGCCGCACACAGCACTGTGGTGAATTCGAGACGGCGGTCCTCAAATAAACGACGTCACGGAGCAGCCCTTGAAGAGCCGCACGCGGCACCGCGGCCGCGGGTTGCCGACGCCCCCTGGGCTGGAGGAATGCGGCACGAGGGGGCCGCTTTGCCGAGCACCTGCGTCGAGCTTCATGAAGTAAGTCGGCGTCTCCACCACCAGGTCGCAGCGGCCACTCTCCTCCGGCTGCCGCTCCAGCTGTGTGAAGCTCTGCAACTCCGCAAACCTGGGGTGGGGGGGGGGGGGGTGGTGCAGAGACACCGGCACGTGGAGATGTTAAGCCAGGGAGATGTTCTGGGCTGCTCGTAGACTGGGGTTGGCCCTAGCGTATGGGTGTCTAACACCCGGCACGCGGGCCAGACTCGGGCGCTCCAAGCCCCTTCCCTCCGGCCCGCCACGTGTTTCAACGTTTATGACTTATTTAGAAAAATAAAACTTTTTAAAGATTCAACCTCAATTCAACCTGAATTTAAACCGGAAATTGAAGTGGGAGATTTGCCACGCCCGACGCAGTGGTCCAAACAAAGAGGTGTCAGGCATCAGGAAGGAAGCAGCCGCAGCACTCAGCAAGTCGCTATACATATCACTTGATTCATTACGTGGGTGGTTGACGTGAGCCAATGTTCGGTAAATTAATACCGTGTTATTATGCTTTTCATTTCCACGTGTGGCCCGTGGAAGCTGCATTTGAATCCAAACCGGCCAGCTGTTCGATTGACTTCGACACCTCTGCCCAAGAGGCAGGAGAGGGAGAGATGAGCCCGAACTTAGACGGCGTGCCGGGCGTGAAAACATTTTCGCTGGCTCGCTGAGCCGAGATAAAAAATTAAGCCCCCCAAGTGAAGCACCGTTGGGCTGCCTGGTTTTGATGCTTTACCACTTCCTATTTACCAGAGGTTTTTTTGGGTTAGATCGCGTAAATATAAACGTGTCGTTAAACCCGCCGCCACTCAACAAAGCCAACTAGTAAGGTTTGTCACGTAAACAGAACGTGCCAATTCGTTAGCACACCGGTGTGTTGGAGAGCAAATCCACAACAGTTACAATCCGAGTACGACGTTTCGCCAGTAATTACCACCAGCATTATCAGGCGGCAACCAGATTTGTGGATAAATCCTCCTGTCTCGTTCCTTAAATAGAGGGGTAGATGTGATGACGTCACTTGTGAGTCCTTCACGTGCTTCGTGGGGGGGGGGGGGTGGGATTAATGAATGCATATAAATTACAATCTTACTAATTGGCTGCGTTGGGTGGTGGCAGGTTTAACGACACATTTATATTTACGCGGATGATATTGGTCACGAAAGCCTACGTGTTAAACCATTCCTATTTACCAATATTGTAGTAGGGTTGAGCGTGGTGAGTACTTGGACTGGAAATTTGCCTGGGAACACCAGGTGTTATAGGCTTGCACGACGAGGTGGTAAACAAACAGCAGAGCAGCAACACATTATTACTTATTGCAAAGAATGGACAAGCTCTTCCAGCTGAACGTGCCATACACCACCTGTAAATGGATCACAGACTTCCTGTCTGACAGGAAGCAGTACGTTAAGCTGGGAACACAAGTCTCTGACTCCAGGTCCATCAGCACCGGAACTCCTCAGGGCTGCGTCCTTTCCCCTCTGCTCTTCTCCCTGTATACCAACAGCTGCACCTCCAATCATCTGTCCGTCAAACTATTGAAGTTTGCGGATGACACCACCCTCATTGGGCTGATCTCTGGTGGGGATGAGTCTGACTATAGGTGGGAAGCTGACAATCTGGTGACCTGGTGTAGCCAGAACAACTTAGAGCTAAATGCTCTAAAGACAGTTGAGATGGTTGTGGACTTCAGGAAGAATACAGCACCACTCACCCCCATCACCCTGTTAGACTCCCCAGTCAAAATTGTAGAGTCCTTCTGCTTCCTGGGCACTATTGTCTCCCGGGACCTCAAGTGGGAATTGAACATCAGCTCCCTCACCAAGAAAGCTCAACAGAGGATGTACTTTCTACGGCAGCTGAAGAAATTCAACCTGCCAAAGACAATGATGGTGCAATTCTATACAGCGATCATTGAATCCATCCTCACCTCCTCCATAACCGTCTGGTACGCTGCTGCCACTGCCAAGGACAAGAGCAGACTGCAGCGTATCATCCACACTGCTGAGAAGGTAATTGCCTGCAATCTACCAACCCTCGAGGACCTGCACACGACAAGGTCCATGAGGCGAGCGAGGAAGATTATGGCCGATTTCTCCCACCCTGGACACTCTCTGTTTCAGCTACTCCCCTCCGGCAGAAGGCTTCGGTCCATCAGGACCAAAACCTCACGCCATAAAAACAGTTTCTTCCCATCTGCTGCTGGCCTGTTAAACAAGGCCAAGGGCTAACACTGTTTTTAACATTTGATCTACATAACGACACCTTGCCGATATTAACTATGTTACCCTATTTGTATTTTTTATTTTTAAATTATATCTTAAAGCTATTCTATATTCGATATATACTTCAGCCCCTTGGTGTTAGACTTTTAACCCTTATTATAGTAAGACTTGTTTAAAAGTTATTTAAGATTTTAGATTCCTATATGTTGAATGTATGCACCATCCTGCCAAAGTAAATTCCGTGTCGGTGTGAACTTACATGGCGAATAAAACCCTTTCTGATTCTGATATTGTTTGAAGGTGGTGTTGCATCAGCACCGATGCAAATTAGGAAATGAAAGCAGTCGTCTTCCCAAATTAATTTTCAGCCGAATGGTTTACCGGTTACTCGCGAGCGGTGTTACATTTATACAAACTACTGGGAGTACCGACGGGGAAGTTGGTGGGGCTAGGGGACCGGTATTTTGGTGGAGGTTTAGGGTTTGGAGGTTGCGCAAGAGGGAGGCGAGGTGTGGAAATTTTCGTTTCACTCTGAGGGCTTCGGCCTTGCTGCGGAGGTGACTATAGGGGTTTTTTAATGAATGGCAACCATTGATTAATTATTCATGAGCATGCGTTGGCAGCCGGGGTTTTTTGGCGATGGGTTCTTGAATCTGTACGGGCAGACGCATCGGTGCCCACCGCTTTCCCCCTTTCCTCTCAGGGTTTTCGCCCCGGTTCTCCGGCTTCCTCTCTCGACTCTCCTCCTCGAGCCAAACACTCGCGAGCAGAACAAACAAACATTCGCAAGGCAGGACTCTCCCGAAAGCGGGTCTTGTGACTCGGCGAGGCCTTCCTGTGCGGGAAAAAAACGATTCTCGTTTGTTTCTACAATAGAGAGACTCCTCTACTTACGGACGAGATTGGTTCCAGAGGTCTGTTCGTAAGTCAAACTTTACTGCTGTCGATTCCAAACATGTTGTACGGCATGCACACTAAACACGGGGAATGGATTTAAGAGTTACATAATCTCCTGTGGATGTAGATGCCACCACCATCATCTATTTCGTGGCGGTTGAACTTATGACTCTCGGTCTGAACAGGCAAGTGGACACACGAACAGGTTTGTTCGTATATGTCTGAAAGTTCATAAGTCAAATGTTCACATCTAGAGGAGTCCCTTTAGTTTTTGTTGGTATCGTGTTGTAGTCGTGATGTGAAGAAGTGTCCGCTCAGATCGATCGCAGCCACCTGTGGTGCATCTCTTTGATACGCTATGAAAAAAAGCGTGACGAGCTTGGCTTCCAGACTTAACGAATGGGGTTTGCGTATGTCGAAGTATGGATGTATGCAAGTATGTTGAACTTCCTTCGCACAGTAGACTCTACATATATTGAGGAACTACTACTGTGTGTTATCTTCGTGTGGTCTGGGACTGTTTTGTTGTTGATGTTATTGTTGCCTTGCTAAATCGGACTTACATAATTAAGTAACGTTTTATCTATTTATAGTTAGCGACTTGCTTACCATTTTCTCTATTTTGCACTCCTGTCGCTTTTTTTGTGACTCGCCCGACCCGGCGAACCGTCAAAGGCCGACGGACGAGGGGGGGGGGGGGTGGTGGTTGGGGTCTCACCATGACTGCAGGGGGCTCTTGTGCTCCCCCTCAGCCGCCAACGCGGCCGCGTCCAGGTCACAGCGGCCGCCAATCTCCCCGGCCTCGAAGAAGTCTTCGCTAAACCTGGCCGCAGGAGGGGGGGAAAAGCACGGTCACGGAAGGCGAGTGATCGAGCGGTTCGCTGCGAAACCCGCCGATGCCGAGGTTCGATTCCCGCTCGCGCCCAACACCGGCGGCGATAATAATCTGAACCCGTCCTGGGCCTCCGCCAGGTCCAACGCAGCCTCGTAGGAACACCTGGTGCGGCGTGTAAACATCAGCATTGAGAAGGCAAAGGCGGCCGGTGCGTGGAGCTGGCCACACCACCCCCTCCCTCGCGTGCCGAATCGGTCTTCGTAGGTGCTCGCCAACAGCGCTTGTCCCACCATCCTGTATGTCGCGATGTAGGGGATCTTTTATCTTTGTGCACATGGGTAGTGGTGGAGCAGCGGCACAATGGTTATGGCACTGCGCTATCAACTCTGAGCCGTGAGTTTGATTCTCAGCCACAGCTGCCGTTAGCGGGGAGTGACATCAGCACTGGTCCTGGGCTTCCTCTCGGTCGACTCGGCCTCAAATGAGTACCTGCCATGGTGTGAGTGCTCTTGTAAGGTGATCGGGGGTTCCTTGTGCAGAAATGTAGGCACGCAATTACGGAAATGGACGATCATGGGCCATCGTGTCGTTCAAATCTAAAAGGTGTCACACGTGCTATTACTCAACTGCCGTATAACCTGCCAGCATGCAAATCTCCACTCCAGGTCGTCGCGCGACCATCCAGTTTTACCTGAATTAAACCAGGCCAGCGGCGACTCGTTTACCTGCATCTGGCAAAAGAATGTTCTTCTTCAGCGAAAACATAAACACTCTTTCAATGGTTTCGTTGACAAAATGAGAACGTGACGGGCGTTTTGGTCATCTCCACTTACTTCCTTGATTGTATCTCCTTCAGTCGCCACCGAACTGCACGCAGCTCGACTGTAAGAACACTGCGCCATCTCAGTAATGGTGAATTCAATTCTAGATTTGAAGCTTTCGTGACTGCAAGGATCCACAATCTTTGGTTCTATTCGGTAAAGTCACGTAGGTAAAAAATAAAACAACAAAAATCACGACGTTTCGGCCACAACACAAGCGGCCTTCATCAGGTGAAGGGACCAGACTGTCTCGAGGACAGCGCTGGAGTGAAACACAGCCACGCTCAGACCGCGACCTTTAAGCTGTGTGCGAGGAAATAAGGTGCCTTGACAAAGGAATTAGCATAAAAAATAGCATTTGATTGGCCGACTTAGCATGATGAAGATGTTCTAAATCGAACCAAATATTAAACTAATTTTCAATGGTACAGTATATTTTTCAAGTAGTGGTACCCCAAACTTTCGCAGCTCTTAAAATTCCCTTTTCACACCATCAATAGATAAACTCCCCCTCCCCCCCTCGCCAACCGGCATGTTCACCCGCATGTACACCAGAGCAGGCCGGCCATGTGGCCAGATGACAAAAGTGTCATCCACGTACCTCTTCCATAAGGTTGGGCGCAGAGTGGCAGTCTGGATGGCGTCAGTCTAGACCAATTCTTCGACCACATCAATTCCATACTCCCAGCCATCAGATTTACCATGGAAGTCCAAAAAGATGGTAAGCTACCTTTTTTGGATGTCCTAATTAAAAAGAGACCTGATGGTTCAATGAGCCACTCTGTCTACAGGAAAGCTACCCATATGGATGCTTATCTGAAACCGGATTCCCACCACCATCCATCACAGAATAATTCTCTCATCAAGACTCTGTATCATAGAGCCCAATGCATATCCGACCAGGAACACATAGGCAGTGAACTCAAGCACGTACACCAAGCTCTTAAGGCTAATGGTTACTCCGACTATACAATCCGCAAAGCTATCACTCAAACCATGAAGAAGGACCCTCTTGAGGAGCCTTTCAAAACCATCACTTTACCCTACATTGCGGGGATCACAAAAAAGATCTCCAAAATCTTGAATAAACACAAGATCCAGGTCCGTTTCAACACATTACATAAAATCCGTGATCTGGTTCCGTCTGTAAAAGATGTGATTCCGGACATACAATACCCTGGTGTCTACAAACTAAGTTGCCTCTGTGGTAGTAGTTACATTGGAGAAACCAAACGACATGTCTCGGACCGCATTCGTGAACACAAAGTAGACCTTAAACATGGTAGGACCAACACCTCGGCCGTGGCAGATCATTGTTATAATTCAGTAGGCTCACATGACATTGACTTTTCCAAGACAGAGGTTCTTTGTAAGCCATCTGGCTACCATGAGAGATTCGTTCATGAGGCTATCCACATATACAAGCACAGAGACAATTTCAACCGAGAAGATGAATTCTGGCTTAGCAATCATTGGAAAGATTTGATAAACCATTTCAGGTCTTAATTGATTGTTCACGCTTACAGTGGCTTTCAGACAGCATACATTACATTTTTCGTCTCCCCCCTCCTCTTTTCAGAACATAGATGGACTAGTCCTTCTAAATAAACTGCCAAATCGCTGCGCGTGGCGCTAACGTTTTTTATAAATAAATAAACCGTTTAAAAATAAATAATTTTATGCAAACCGACACACCTGATGACGACCGTTTGTGTTATGGTTGAAACGTCGTGAGAATTGTTATTGTTTTATATATATTTTATTATTTTATTGTTTCCCTTCAACGTGACTTTACCGAAAGAACTAAGAATATGAATTACTGCAGTCAAGGAATGTAATCATTTTTTCCCACCCACCCTAGGGATTTGTGAATTGTCAAGTTTTGGTGTCTTTGATTCGACTTGAGGATCAATTCCTTTTCGTATTATTTGGTATTGTTTCTTGTGTGCTTCGTCTTGTTTGTACAGTTGTGAGCGATAGTGTAGCGGTCAGCGCGCTGCGCTATGAACCCGGCGACCCGGGTTCGATTCCCGCTCACGGCCAACACCAGTGACGATTATCTGAACCGGTCCCGGGCCTCCCCTAGGTCGACTCAGCCTCAAATTAGTACCTGGTGCGGTGTGTAAACATCGCCACTAGGGAGACAAAGGCGGTCGGGCGTGGTGCTGGCCACCCACCCCCTCGTGTACCGTTCCGGCCTTCATAGGTGCTCGCTAACAGCACTTGCCCCTACAGTCTGTTAAGGCTATATGGGGGGTCTTTGTCTTTGTTTGCACCACCACCATAAATGCAACGTGGGCGTGTAATTTTCTGAAGGATATGCAAAAATGTTAAAGCACGTAATTTCGCTAGCGTGATTCGATGCATGGGTCTTGAGTGTACAAAGCAACGGCAATCAATGTGACGGACAGCAGTAATACTCAAAATCCTCCGCACAGACAAATTTGTCACAAACCCACATTCTCGACTGCCCCCGACGGACATCAACATCAACATCATCATCCCCCGCAGGTGGGCGACTCACACAGGGGTCCATCAGTGCACGAGCCAGCAACTCTGCAAGCGAGGCTCTGTACTACAAGTGAGCATCACGGCAGCACGTCATCGATGACGGACTACTGCCTTGTCCCATCCGCCTGTCTCTTCTGTACTAATCTCATCCGTTACGGCCTGCGTCGTACGGTGGCACCGCCCGTCTCGGCGTGGCATCTGCGCATCGCGATCCTCACACCCAGGAGCACAGTTCGGACGAACGTCGATTCGGTTGTTGGTGAGATGCACCGAACGAAAGACCCAGGATGCAGTGGAGCAACGCTCGATCCCTCCTCTCCCCTCCGGTAGGTCGCTTGTTTGGTGTCGGCGGCAGGTGAAACGCGGAGCGGCCTCACCTGTCGGTGCCGCGTCGGGGCTTGCGCAGGTCGACGTAGAGGTTGGTGGCGCGGCAGTAGCGTGTGTATTTCACACACGTGAGGGACGAGTCGCCCTGCACAACCACAACCAAATACAAAGATTCCCCACCGTATAAGCTCAACAGACCGTTGGGGCAAGAGCTTTTAGCTAGCAGAGCTTGTGAAGGCCGGCACAGCACACGAGGAGGTGGGTGTGCGCTAACCTTTGCACTACCGCTGCCCGCACGCACACACACAGACGCACACACACAGACGCACACACACAGACGCACACACACAGACGCACACACACAGACGCACACACACACACCGCACGACACACACACAGACGCACACACACCGCACGACACACACACAGACGCACATACTAACGACGACGATCCCCAGTGTAGCCTGTAACAGACTGTAGGGGCAAGTGCTGTCAGCGAGCAGCGCCTATGAAGGCCGGCACTGTGGCGCACGAGGGGCTGGGTGGCCAGCACCACGCCCGACCGCCTTTGTCTCCCCAGTGGCGACGTTTTACACATCGCATCGAGTACTCATTTGAGGCCGAGTCGACCTAGGGGAAAGCCCAGGACCGATGTTGGCCATGAGCGGGAATCGAGGTCGGGTCGCCGGGTTCGCAGCGCAGCGCTAACCACTACACTACCGCTCCCCTAAGACCAACAACCACCGCCACAACGAAAGCAGCAACCACAACCACCACAACTACCACCACAACCACCACGACTAAAACCACCACAACAACCACCACCACAACCACCACGACTAAAACCGCCACGACCACCACAACCACCGCCACCACCACAACCACCACCACCACAACCACCACGACTAAAACCACCACCACAACCACCACGACTAAAACCGCCACAACAACCACCGCCACCACCACAACCACCACCACCACAACCACCACGACTAAAACCACCACCACAACCACCACGACCACCACCACGACTAAAACCACCACCACAACCACCACAACCACCACCACAACCACCACAACCACCACCACGACCACCAGCGCCGCCGCAAGCAGTCGGTGGAGACGAGAGACAGAAGCGTCGAGACGGACGGCGCAACATAACACCACCAGGTGCATCGAGGCGACAGGGAAACCGACCGGTAAACAGGCGTGCACGACGGCCGTGCGACAGAGCCAAGCAGCGGAGGAGATGAGGCGTTACTTTCCAAGGAGCGAGCTTCGATTTCAGGTCCATCTTTACAGCTTCCACCACCCCATCCATACCCCGCACGTTTTATCCCAGGCCTTGCTGTGAATGTGCTGCTGCAGTTACAGCCTGTTAGAGGCACCCTGCCAAGACTCATCCACCATCGTCAGTGTGATTCACCTCCGCTGTTACGCACCACACCACATACTGTATATATATGAATCCATACTCTTTGGTTCTTTCGGTAAACGTCACGTAGGTATAAAATAAAATAAATCACGACGTTTCGGGCGCAACACAAGCGTCCGTCATCAGGTGGGAAAGTAGTTTAAAATAGTGAGTGAAACACACTCACCATGAGTGTCTGGTGAGTGTCTGGTGAGAGGTGTCCGGTCAGAGGTGAGCAGTCAAATTGAGTGGTGACTGTCTGGTGAGTGACTGATGAGTGTCTGGTGAGTGTTTATTGAGTGTCTGGTGAGTGATGAGTGTCTGGTGAGTGTCTGGTGAGTGATGAGTGTCTGGTGAGTGTCTGATGAGTGTTGAGTGTCTGGTGAGTGTTTATTGAGTGTCAGGTGAGTGGTGAGTTGTCACATGAGTTTTGTGTGTCTCGCAAGCATTGGGTGTCTGGTGTCAGGTTGAATGGTGAGTGTCTGGTGAGTGAGTGGTGAGTGGTGAGTGTCTGGTGAGTGGTGAGTGTCTGGTGAGTGTCTGGTGAGTGGTGAGTGTCTGGTGAGTGGTGAGTGTCTGGTGAGTGTCTGGTGAGTGGTGAGTGTCTGGTGAGTGGTGAGTGTCTGGTGAGTGTCTGGTGAGTGATGAGTGTCTGGTGAGTGTCTGGTGAGTGTCTGGTGAGTGATGAGTGCCTGGTGAGTGTCTGGTGAGTGGTGTGTGTCTGGTGAATGGTGAGTGTCTGGTGAGTGGTGAGTGTCTGGTGAGTGGTGAGTGTCTGGTGAGTGGTGAGTGTCTAGTTATTGTCTGGTGCGTGTCATGTGAGTGGTTTGTGTCTGGTGTGCATTTAATGGCTAGTGTCAGATGTGTGTCTGGTGCGTATCAAGTCATCCCGTCTGTAAGAAGTTATGCCCTTTAGTAATTAAATACGAAATTCCCTTGATTCTAAGCGGCTCAAAAGACATTAATGTATCCTGGACAACACTTCACAAGGGAAGCATACAACTCAATTTTAATTCAGAATTGCCTTTTGTCTTTAGTTTATTGTCCTCCCCCCCCTCGCCTCCGATGAGCACGGTTGGCTACGTACGGCGCGGAAGAAGTTCAACGTGCACACACATGCATAACAACTGGAGTTGCTTCGTGCAAAACCATTGCACCGTGACTAGACGCTTGCCCGTGCTGCGCAGCATCCCACGGCCGTGAGTGACAGCACTCGCCCCACGTGGGGCCATCAAGGCCTCCACGCGATTGCCCTACCCTGCCTGCGTCCGTACGGATGGAGAACATCTCGCGCGGGTCACTTTGACAATTATGTCTTTGCTGCCACCAACATTTTTCGATTTAAAGCTTTCGTGACTGCAAGGATTCATCTTCTTTGGTTCTTTCGGTAAAGTCCACGTAGAATGAGAATAAAATAATAAATTAATAAAATAACACAGAGACTGTCCCTTCACCTGATGAAGGCCACTTGTGTTGTGGCCGAAACGTCGTGAGAATTTTATTGTGTTATTTCATTTCATTAATTTATTATTTTATTCTCATTCTACGTGGTGACTTTACCGAAAGAACCAAAGAAGATGCCACCAACATAATTGGGGAACACAACGGCATTTTGAGAGGGTGTTATTTTCTGTATTGCCCCTCGTGGTTTGCATGGGGCGGGGGTCACGTGATAAAATCACAAACACGACATGCACGGGTTTGCACGCGCAGGATTTGGCGCAAGCATCGCGTAAGAACCGATCTCAGAAGAGGGATCGGTGCTGAGACCGAACGCTGCAGTCGAACGCTCTCCAGCGAGTGGGAAACCTTTTCGAAAGTTAATTCCCGGCTCTTGACACCCTCCCTGGGGCAGGCAGACATCACAGGCGGCGGCCCCGCCTTAGAAATCCGATAAGAGCTCTCGTGGTAAAAGCCACCAATCCTATTATTTGTTTACTCTTTGAGACCCTTTTGACAATACAATGACAACCCCCTGCAGCAGCAACACTTGCATTCAGAAAAAAAGGTTTGGAACGTAGTTTTTTTTTGTAAACCAAGATTTTGCCATGTCACAATGAACCGGGTACACTCGTGAGGCGAGGTCTAGAGCTTCTTGCCGCTCTTTAGATACATACTGACGCATCGAGCCGTCAATTTAAATCAATTCTTACGCTCAAGACACATAATTGATTGTTGCTAATACACCCAGCAATAAAATTCACCATGGAGGTAGAAAAGGATGGCATGCTACCTCTCTAAACCTTTATAAACAGCTTGCCCTCAAAGGCTAACCTCCCTGTTCCTGATGAGAACCGCTTGTGTTGCGATCGAAATGTCGTGATATTTTATTATTTTGTATTCACTTTATTTTCATTTTTATTATTTGTTATTATTTTTCTATCTATGTGACTTTACCGAAAGAACCATAGAATATTGTTGCGAATGTTACACTTACATGTGCCGAATCGTGTGTGTTGTGTGTGGGAATCGATGTATTTGTTTGATTTGTCTATGTTGTATGTAATTATTTCATGCGAGGGGCTACAATGGCCAACGGTGTAAACATAAAATACATTCTTGAATCAAATCGCAGCCTTGATTTGTTACAATTTCTCAAATCGCAAGGCAGGCAAATTTGTTAAGAGGCCGACTCCTTCGGAGAATACAAAAAAACTCCGTCTCAAATTTCGAGGCTCTGCACATGAGAGGCGATCATGTTCCATTAACGCAAATCACGTGCGAGTGTTACGTTCGGATCCATGGAGTGAACGCAACTGAACAAACAAAAGATCAAACAAGTCAAGGAGTTAATAAAAAAAACGAGACGAAACAAGGGCACTTCCACAAACGAGGCAATCTGACGGTCGTCATTTTTCAAAAACGTCCGAAAAATAGACATCAGGTGTTATTTTAAAGGTAATCGCGGTGGCTAGGAGATGTTAACTCCCTCGCCTGGCATACAGGAAGTCGTGGGTTCGATCCCAACCCTGACGTCTGTATATTTGCAGTTTGCGTGTTCTCCCCGTGGTGGCGTCGATTTTTCTACCGGGTCCTCCAGTTTTTCCCTCCACATTTTAGAAACATTCGCTTAGAGTATCTGGCTGCTATAAATGTCCGCATGGTGATAAGCCACTTTGGTGAGCTATCATTCACTTCTGAAAAAGAGCTATATAGCTCAGTGGGCCTTACCTGGTAAAAAGAAAATAGTTTGAGAAAAAAAATCCTTATTTATGGATTCAGTTGAATGGGTTGCAATGCACACGAAGTTTAATGGAACTGTAAATGCAACCATGGCCATACCAGTGTGCATTGAGTAAGTCAGTTGCCAGACTACAACCTACACCGTGGAATTTATACAGAGCATTTCTCCCTTATCAAGAAAGGTGAACAGATCAATTCTATAATATTTAACAGTCCTAATAGGTTGAAAAACAACTCCTGAGTAAAGAAAGCCACTTGACGTCACGCAAAGTATTAACCACATCCTTAAAGTGTTTGGAATGTACCCCGAAAACTGTACAACTGGCCAAAAAAAGAATATATCCTTGAAATTAATCTCCACCCCAAAGCGTGAGAATAAGTCCTGCATGGTATAGCCGCACTACTTTACAACTCTGAAGAGCGATTACAGCTCGTTTGCCAGAACGTCCCCCCTATTCGTATTGCAATGTGGATTCAACGTCATGCAATCGCTGGAAGGGATATGAAACCTACAGCTTAAGAGATCCCATGACTGTTCTGTGCAGATTACTATGGCATCATGTGATGTGAGGGCAGAACACACAAAACTACCTATAAACACTTCCTGGCATAGAGCCACCAACCCTCATATTGTACACCCCGAAGTGATGACAGAATCACAAAAACAATATAGAAATGTACCAGGAAGTGCACTTTCTATGTATGTATGTATGTTGAACTTCTTTCGCACCGTACGTAGCCAACCGTACCAATCGGAGGTGTGGAGCCAAACGAAACAAAGTCACGGCCCATATATATATCTCTCTGGAACCACGCATGTTTACCCAACCCCGATTTAAAGCGGTGCAGTTTGACAAAATTCACCGACAGCCCCCTCGGTGTGGGAGCGGGGGGACGGGTTGTGTAGCGTCCGTACCGTTTGCCTGGCTCGGCACAGGGTCTTGAGCTCTCCCATACGCTCCTTCACGTAGCCGAAGTCCGCCTGACGCCAGTAAAGGTACTCCGCCGCCTCCACGGAGTTGGCCCTGCAAAGAAAACGGCCGGCGAACGCCGTTGGCGGCACTGCGATATATGAAGCCGGTGACGCGGGTTTCGTTCCCGGCCACGGCTAACGTTTCCCGGCCGCAGCTAACACCAGTGGTACATGATATACAAACCGGTCATTTAACCCAACGGCACTGATCAGCGCGGTGATGTATGGCCAAGCAATCCTCATGGCCGACAAAGAATGAGGAGGGCTTCATTCCAGCAGCGGATTGACACATCTAAATCCGAATTTTTATTAATCCTGGAGAAATCTGATGAGTTATGAAGCTCTTTTTTTATACAGATATCCAGTAGGGGTGGATCAGAAAGTTACAACAACATAGAATTACAAAAAGTATAGGAAAGGGAATCAAAGACTAAAACCAAACTATTTTTACCCCATAAAGCTCACTACAGATATTTGTGGTAGGAATCCATGGAAGGAGGCGGTGCAGAAGAGACAGCCAATGCGGCACAAGTGAGAGTTTACAAACAACAGACGGGACAAACGAGAGTACAGTAGAGGGAACTCAACAGTATAAAAATAGTATACAGAGACAGAGTACAGACAGGAGTGTGGCTGGCCACAACAGAGCGACTGCTGCTAAAGCAGGGCTGGCTTTCACTTCCACAACATTCATTATGAAGCATGGCAACGTGGCACAGCAGGAAGGGTAACAACCCAGAAAGCAGGGTGCCATGACAGCTGGGAGGGTGCCAATAGTGCGACAGTGAGAGAGCCAATGCTTCGGATACAGTGTGGTGCATCAGTGGGTTAAGTGCGCTGACCAGGCGGTGTTGGAGGATGAGCAGACCGGGAAGCGGAAGCTGTGGCGTGGCACGCACCCCTCCTCGTAGCCCCAGCAAGAGGAGTTCACCCTCGACAGATGTCTCTGTGCGACAGCAGCAGCGCTCCCAATCCTTCTCGTCGCGTCATCTCGCGCGAGCACGCATCTCACCGCTGTGTGCAGTGAATTTATGATAACGCAGCACGTAGCCCAATGTGTGCACAACCAGCGTTCGTACACTCGGCGCTCAAGACTTTATTTTCAGCTGGCCTCGGAGCCCATTGAGCCGAGCAGCCCTTTTACAGGGACGACCAGATGTAGACACAGGAAACACATCCACCACGCCATCGTCACGGCAGGGCCGATCGAATAGAGGAACAAGCAGAGAGGTGTATCTTGAAACTTCCCAAGGCGGGGGCCGGGAGCAGTCACAATCGTACCAAGAATATTTAATTAGGGCCCTACATTAATAATACATCAACATATTTGTATGTTTACATTTCAAAAAGGGGGGCACTGCCTGGATTGCCCCCCCCCCTCCCGCCTTTGATCCGCCACTGTAACGTAAATCAATCGAACTTTATTGCTTTAAAGATGCCTTTCTCAAATCAAGGCCCCTGCACACACACACACTATTATTATTACAAACGAAATCACCACTGACCGTACCGATGACCGTGTAAACATGACGACAGTGAACGCAAGAATATGTAACGACAATATAGGTGTGTGACGCACGATACAGTTAGTTTACGTCTTTGACCGCAGTGTGCGTGACGCTCATGCTCGTGTTTCTGGACAGCGGAGATGTAGTTGTAACATCCCCACAGTACTTCATTCCTACAGGGTCAATAAAATGACGATCCATCTGCGGGAAGTCAACAGTGGTTGTGCTCTGCATAGATTCTTCCGCTGCCATAGCAATGTGGGATTCCAACCCACTGGCTCAGGGCTGTGAAAAAAGAAGGGACCACCATGTTGCACTCCTTTTGGAAGGAAACTACTTGAGACGTTAATTTATTTCAAACTCGGTGGCCTAGATTTAATACTGGGCCAAATATACACAATGGCACCAGTGCTCCAAATGATGTCTGAACCTGGCCTGAACCATCCCAACCAGTCCCCACCTGAAAACAAGAACAACTCTTGAGGCTCGGTCAATCACTCAACAATCAGCAGGGAAACACATTGGCCGAGAGTTCTCTTGCAAGGTTAGCTACAGGAATTTGCCCTTTAACCTATTTCTTTTGCTTCCTTGTACCTAAGATGTGTGTATCTGCCTGTTGAACTTCGACCACACCGTACATAGCCAACCGTGCTAATCGGAGGCGCGGTGGAAGAACAACAACAAACTCAACACAAAAAGCAGTTTCTAAAGAAATGAGCTAACAATGTAGACGATAAAGAAGTGCAAAGCTCCAGTGGATTCACAAAATATAGGGAGGAAGAGTGTTCCAGATGGTCGCAGAAGCGTGTCTGAAAGCGTCGTGATGCGGTGACCGTGCACAGACTCCAGAGCCATGCGCCAACATCCTTGCACTGTTAGAACTTCTACTTCCATCTTGGAAGTTCTCCCTCCTCTCCTTTGAATTTGAATTCAAACCTGTTGGTCTTCTTCGGGGAACGACAGGCGCACTTTATTCATATTGCGCTGTTTAAATAATGTGGTTCTGACCGCAATGATCACTTTGTATTTTAACATTGCGCAACGTTCACATTTCTTCCAGGGTAATATTAGCACTTTGAAGCACTTTCTGTTAGCGGTTCATTTGCCTTGCTACCACTAGTTTAAGGAAAATTGAAGTCAACATATTTGACCTTGTGATGTAACCCAGGCCACCATTGCAAACGAGTGCCACGATGACACTTTTGTCTTAACGGGGCTGTTGCTACCTCCTGGTGGCATTGCAGCTGGACTCCCGAGTGCACTGAGGGTGCACAAGCAATTCTCTGTACCTTGCAATTGCACGGACTTCGGCAATGCCATTACGGGCCGCTGAGACTCACCTTGTACGGGCACCGGGGGTCTGCCACGCATGACTCTGTCTCTTGCGGGCGGCCGTGCAGGTAGTAGGGTATGTGCTCAGGGTGGAGGTTGAAGTTGGTGAAGTTGGTTGACGGTGAGATCTGAGCGCCGCCCAGGCACGGACAGAGGACGACCCAGAGGCACAGCGCTGACCACGGCGCCATCGTCGGCTCGAGCCTGCGACGACACGACGAGTGGGATTTTTGTTGTTGTTGTTAGAACGCTACGAGCCACGTGCAGGCGACACCTCGTACCCTGACAACGTCCTTGCGATTCGCTTTCACTCGATTGTCACCAGCAGCTGTCAACATCGCTTCCTGAAACTGTGCGTGAGATTCCACCCCCCACACCCCCCCCTGCCTCACCCAGCCCCAGCCATCTGTGCTGCCGACAGCCCGTCGCTGCTCACGGCTACCGTTTCAGCTATCGTGGCCGGGAATCGAACTTAGGTTGCCGGGTTCACAGCGCAGTGCGCCACCGCTTCCCACGATGTAAATGCGGACACTATTTATGCAAACTCGCACACGTACATGGTACACTATAAAAGCACACACACGTACATAGGTACACTATTTATACAAACACACAAGTACATACGTGGACAACGCCGCACGCAGTCGCAATAAGGGGCGCAGCTTTTCCCCGCGGTCAGAAACGACCTTGGCGTCGTGGCGCCAAGGTCGCGTCTCGCCGACAGCAGCGAGCGCAGACCGGGCCGCGACCGGGACGATCCTGCCTCGATGCGTTTTGAATAAACAAAACGACAGGAAAGTAAAAAAACCTCCCCAGAAACCGCGGGCGTGTCGAGGAAGCCCCGAGATGAAGCCCCGTGAACGAGCAGCGTGCAGCATTGTGACCGTGAGGGGGGCGGGGGGGGGGGCTGGTTCACGGCGAGGACCCCCCGGGGGCGATCCCCAGGGCGTGGTGGTGCGATCTGCAACTTTAGAACGCGACTGTGCGTGGGTGGCGTTGTCACCGACGGTGGGAAAAAAAGTCATCTATTCTCACACATTACCAATCCCCTTCGAGGCGGCCAATGGCATGCACGTATGCACGCGCGCACAACACGCAACCTCCAGCTAATTGTTTGCATTTTTTCTCACACACTTTTTTTAGGTGAAGGTAAAGGTGCAGCCCCTGCAATTGCTCGCTCACGCCACTGCTGACAGAAGGGCCTCCCCTAGACGGAGGTCTAGAGACCATCTCTAGAAGGTAGATTGAAAACTCAAATGTTTAGAAATGCTTTTTGTCTTTAGTTTAGTTCTCACCCCGCACCTCCGATTAGCACGGTTTGCTACGTCCGGTGCGAAAGAAGTTCAACATACAGAGTATTTTGGCCTAATCTTTCACGCTGGTCAGACATCTTGGAAGAGGTGGGAGTACCCAACCACACGTGACCTCTCCCGATGGACTAACTGTGGCGTCACCCATTTGTACCGCGCGGTGGACAGAGGCGGCGCGGGAGGGGGGGGATTTAAGAAACTGACACCAATGTTAATTTGAAGCTTTCATGAATTTACCGAAAGAACCAGAGAGTACGGCACCAATGGTTGCAACTGCCGTGCCGGGAGATCAAATTGAACTTCTGACCTCTGGATTGCAAGTCCAGTGTGCGAACCATTACTTCACTGCAGCTTCCCTCAAACACTTTACACAACACATGTATTCTTATTCAACACATGTAGTTTACAATTTCTTACGGCCGAATATGAGTAATGCCAAACTGAATAATAAATAGACTTGGGTTCGATTGACTCAATCGTCATCCATGATCAATCAAATTTTGCAAATTACCAATGAGGTTATCCTGGTCTCTTGAGTTCTCACCTGGTTAAACAAAATAAACGCGAAACTTGAAGTTTAATCCACTGCTGGATATCAAAAAAGGCCTCTGTGTAGCCATTGGCCACCTCTCACGATCCTGCATCGTTACAATCCGCTTAGCACGTTCTCACGAGCTGATTTCGTGCCTCCATCTCCGTAGTTGATGACCTCCCTGGCCACGTTCCTTCCTTTGGCTACCACTCCATCGTTAGTTGAGGCCAGGGGCCGGCAACCAAAATAACGAGAAGAGACATATTTTTTTTTAGAATTTGGTTAAAAAATACATCTATATTTCAAGAGCCGCAATGCAATGTGAATACGAGACGGTGGGTCCTTAGTAAATAACGTGGCACAAAGCCAGTCCTTAAAAGTGCCGCATGCAGCAGGTTGCCGACCCCTGGTCTAGACCACCGGCCAGTGGCGGCTCGTGACATCTCCACTGGGTGGGGCTGCTGTGAGTGACCTCTGAACTGACGGTGTTCTAATAAAGAAAACCCTCGTCATGTCATTGGCCTTCCCGTGAAAGTGATACAACTGTCTTAGCTACTAACAGTAGGCGTTTATAAACAATACGAAACATAACAACAAAGCACCCAAATACTGTCCCCATGACCCTCAAGTCCACACTACACAACGACCTTTGACACCGCCAAAAGCCTAGAGCGTGTAGGCCGTGACCTGCTATATTTGCACAGTGCAACCTAGCGTTGTGACATCGTCATTTCTGATCCATTCAGTACACGTGATCACCTCTCGTCACCTCTTGTCTGCAGGCCTGTCATCTTTATGACCTGTTTATCTTTCCTCCGATGTGGCCCACGGGCAAAAGCTGAAGAAATCCTGGCTTTAGCATGACTGTTTACATAACATTACATCCTGTAATGGACCCTCGTGTTTGTCACACGCATTTACTGGTCCTGGCCCATTGAATCGGCAACGAAAGCCAAGGAGAAAGACTCGGACATCATTTTTACGGCGTGTCAATGTATCTTAAATCAAAACCGCATGTATAAACACAGCCAATCACCCGTGATGTGCCCAATGTTGTCACATCTCAGAGGCTAAGCAGGGTTGAGACTTGATAGTGAGTGCTCGGATTAATTAAAACTGGCTGGGGGTTGTGCTACGCAGTGGTCGGCAGTGGCGCAAAACCCATCGTTGTTCTGTACTTCTATGCTCCCACCATCTTCGCTCCCCACCGCCACCCTCAAGGCTTGGGGAGGTTCTCATCCAGCTGTGGATTGACAAACGGGCTGTACATGTACTCATAATAATTCTCCTTCTGTATCGCCTGTCAGAAAAGCCGATAGAACGCGAGCAAAAGCCCACTCCTGGTTAAGTATAAAAGCATGGGCTGGTTTGTTTTGTATGTATGCCTGCGAGTTTATGCCACGAATCCCAAACATCAATCACATTGTAAACACCCACTGCTGTCTTTACTCCTTTAAAGGAGGGATGGACGAGATCCACTTTGCTTCTGGAAAAAAAAAATAGAGTGGATAACAAATCTAAAATTACATCTTTAACCTGCTGTTATTAATCCGTACAAAATAAGTATGTATGTTTGTTGAACTTGTTTCACACCATACGCAGCCAACCATGCTATAATCGGAGGTGCAGGGGGAGAACAACAAAATAAACACAAAAAGCTGGGTTTTTTTCACTCCTTTAAAGGAGAAATGGACGAGATCCACTCTGCTTCGTTGCCCGATTTGTGGCTGTCGCCTGATGAAGCTAGTTGTAATTACTGGCAAAACGTCGTACTCAGATTGTCAATGTTGTGGCTTTGCTCTCTCCAACACACCGGTGCGCTGTACTAGAAATTAATTGGCACGTTCAGTTTACGCGACAAACCTTACTAGTTGGCTGTGTCGGGTGGTGGCGGGTTTAACGATACATTTATATTTTTAAAACGCGATCTAACCCAAAAAAATCTCTATTGTGTTGAACTTCTTTCACACCGTACGTAGCCAACCGTCCTAATCGGAGATGCCAGGCTAAGGACAAGAAATTAAACACAAACACATAAAACAAACCACGCACACAAGACTTGCTCCAGCTGGCAAACGTGCGGGAATCTGGCTAGCTGGCTGCTCCAGTGTCATTCACAGCACCAGCAGCAACCACTGTACGTTCCCACATGTTGATGTTGGAATGAGGCGCTGTATACATCTCTAAGAGATAAAGACTTACACATTACCGCCACGTACATGCGTATTCATGCAGTTCAAGAGTATACAGCATATTTATTCGACTGTATCGGTAACGCATTTTCCGTGTGTAAATGTTATATAACACAAGTTTTAAATGACGCGTAACATATACGCACATTAAAGTGTGTACACAAAAGTCACGTTATATAAAGCGCATTCCTACAAATGTACGCATTTGTGAATCATGTAATTATGCAACGTATGTAAAAGCGCTCGTTCCGAACGAACCACAACATGTACCTTGCTGAGCTTGTCACTGGAGCATAGTCCACGTCGCGGACTCTGGTTACATCCCCTCAATGGCCTAGCCACCCGCCAAACTAAGACCGTCAAGGACATCTAGTGCTCTTAAGCTGCGCCCTCTGCAACCGTCTGGAACACTTCCATCTGACATTAGAATTCCCACTAGAACTTTGGCTCTTTTAAATCTACATCGAAAACGCATTTGTTTAGGACTGCTTTTTGTTGCGTATCGTCTGTTGTCACTCTCCCGCACCTCCGATTAGTGCGGTTGGCTATGTATGGTGCGAAAGAAGTTCAACATATTAATGCAGAACAAGGCTAGGAAGCACCCGTGGAATTTCACGGTTTAATTCTCCCCAAAACAACCCATTTGTCCTCCACACAATTCCACAACAACCGCCATTCGCCACGAAGTGGCGGTGATGTTACTACCACGCTTGTGCCAGGCTATGTGCACGTTAAGGCCACCTGAAGTGTCGAACGCCCGCTGGCATGAGGTCCTGGGACAGACCCAGGTGCCATGGGTCGACTGACTGAGATGACTGGCCGATGCACCGCCTGTGCCCCCTAATGTGCCAACTGCAATTACACGCACAATTACACACAATTACAATTACACACACATATATACCCACACAAAAAGACAGAGATCCCCCGTATAGCCGGAACAGACTGTTGGGGCAAGTTGCTGTCGGCGAGCAGCACTGTGGCACACGAGGGGGCTGGCTTGCCAGCACCACCCTCAGATGTACTACTCACATTGATTTCCCAGCAAGTGTTGGGCCAAAAGTTTGTGGCATGTGGTTGGCACCGTTGGACCAATGTCGGCCCAACGTTCCATCTTTACTGCTCGAATGATCACCGAGGCGGTGATCGCCTCCAATTTATAGCCCCGTGCCAGTGGCAGGAATTCCTCATTCCTATGGCGGGGGCGAGTCGCACCATGGCATTTACCTATTTTATCGTCCACGAGGGGATAATGGATGGGCTATCGAGTCAAACTGGGATTTCGAACTCGCAAGCTCCCTTTTGGGGACGACACTCGCTCTCCCACTGAGCCTACTAGTTGGGTAAATGGAGTAAATGTGTGAATAATGGGATGCGGGAGGGCGTTCGTCAGGCAATATAACAACGTGGAAACATACTCACAAGTGCTTGCTTGCTGTTTTTCTGCTGGTGCTGGCAATAATACCGGGGCAGCCAGCCAGGTTCTTCTGCTGCACGCTTGCAAGTCACATCACGAGAGAGCACCGCCAATCTGTGGACCCTGCAAAAGGCACAAAGATCCCCCCTGTAGCCGGAACAGACTGGTTGGGGCGAAGTGCTATGAAGGCCGTCTTTGTCTCCCCCGCACCAGGTACTCGTTTGAGGCTGAGTCGACCTAGGGGAGGCCCAGGACCGGTTCAGATAATCGTCACTTGTGTTGGTGGCCGTGAGCGGGAATCGAACCCGTGTCGCAGGGTTCATAGCGCAGCGCGCTAACCGCTGCACCACCGCTCCCCCCACACAGAGACATACACACAGAGACACACACACAGACAGACACAGAGACACACACACAGACAGACACACAGAAACACACAGAGAGAGACACACAGAGACATACACACAGAGACACACACAGACACACAGAGACAGACACACACAAAGACACACACACACAGAAACACACACACAGAGACACACACAGAGACACACACAGAGACACACACAGACAGACACACAGAGAGACACACACAGAGACAGACACACAGACAGATACACAGAGAGACACACAGACAGACACACAGACAGATACACAGAGAGACACACAGACAGACACACAAAGACACACACAGAGACACACACACAGAGACAGACACACAGAGACACACACACAGATACACACACAGAGACAGACACACAGAGACACACACAGAGACACACACAGAGACAGACACACAGAGACACACACAGAGACACACACAGAGACACACACAGAGACACACACACAGAGACACACACAGAGACAGACACACAGAGACACACACAGAGACACACACACAGAGACAGACACACAGACACACACACAGAGACACACACACAGACACACACACAGGGGGCACTGCTGAGATGCGGAGATCGAGAGTGGGGGGGAGGGGGTAAGGGAGTGGACGTGCCGAAACTTGCCCGAAGGGGACAATTGACAATCCCCCACCCCCACCCCCCTCGGGGTCACCAAGAACGCACAGCAAGCCGGGGTTCTTATAAATCCATCCCAGCTACAACAGCCCTTCTTCCCTCCTAGCTTATTCTAACCACGCGCTCAGACACAAACACAAAGGTGTAGGCTCGACACACTGTTGGGGCCAAGTGCTGTTAGCCGGCACGGCACTCGAGAGGGTGGTCAACACCACGCCCGGCCGCCTTTGTCTCCCCAAGTGGCAATGTTTTACAACACCGCACCCGGCATTGATTCGAGGCTGAGTCGACCTAAGGGAGGGCCCGGGACCGGTTCAGATGATCGTGATCCGGTATGTTGGTGAACAGGAATCGAACTCGGTTCGCCGTGTTCATAGCGCAGCGTAGCGCCAACCACTGCGCTCCCGCTCCCCACTCAAGTTCCAAGTTTAATTTATTAGGTAGAGCCCTGTGAGCCATGCGGCTCTTGAATAACCACCCGCTCGTTCACGCCGAGCCTTTGACACAGTCAGCTCGAGACAACGATTCCCTTCTTTACGCAGCCCACCAACCCCCAGCCACCCACCACCACCCAGCCCCGGCGGTCTAAAACGGAAATGTCAACCTTTAACACAACTTGAGTTGCCTGTCATGTATATGTATGTTGTTCTTACTACACGGCTCTAACTAGACACGTGTGGTTCCTAGTAACAACATCATCATCGTAGAGTTCGCCCAGCAGCAGCAGCACGCGCTTTGCCTTCTCAGCGCGCACAACGCAGCCCGTGACAGCCGCAACACCCAGCACGTGGTGGGCCTCGCACACCTTGCGGAGAGTACCTGCTGCTGCTGATGATGATGTTGCTGCTGCTGTTGATGTTGTTGCTGCTGCTGCTGATGATGCTGCTGCTGTTGATGTTGTTGCTGCTGATGATGTTCCTGCTGCTGTTGATGTTGCTGCTGCTGTTGATGTTGTTGCTGCTGCTGTTGATGTTGCTGCTGTTGATGTTGCTGTTGATGTTGTTGCTGCTGTTGATGTTGTTGCTACTGCTGTTGATGTTGTTGCTGTTGTTGCTGTTGCTGCCGCTGTTGCCGCTGCTGTTGATGCTGCTGTTGTCGTTGCTGTCGCTGCCGCTGGCTCCCGACTGATGGGTCTTCCTGTCACTGTTAATGATGTAACGCCGCTACTGTAAAAGGCCCCGGCGACTCTCCCGTTTTGGTCGTTTGTGAGTGGGCCGGAGTCGCTCGCTGTGGCCGAGTGTGACCGACTGACCACGCGCCCACATCACTTCCCACCCCCCCCACCACCACCACCCACCACACCCCCACCACACCACCTACCACACCACCACCCACCACCAACACCCACCCACCACCGGTTCGCTTGCGCCCCCTGGTGGCACGGCGGTCCCGGCTCAAGAGGAACATCGGAGCCACCGAAACATTTGAGCGCCGAGAATTGTGGTTTCAGTTTCATTTATTTGGTAGAGCCCTGTGAGCCATTCGTCTCTTGAATCGGGTGCAACCGCAACAAACAAAAAACAAAAACACGAACAAGAAAACATCTTAAAGTGACTTTGTGTGACTGTGCAAACAGAAAATCCAGGAAAAAAACAGCAAAATATTCCTGAAAAAGCACAGTACACCAACACTGTGTGCAAAAATCCCAGTGGGATGCAAGTCAAACAACAACCACAAGACAACTTAGATTAAGGCCATCAGTCTAACTCCGTACTACAACAAACAAACATGGCCAAACCAAAAAACGTTTTCAACATCACCAAAATAAAGCCATAAAAGCAATGTAACTGTGATCTTAGGGACTGTGACCGAATTTTCACAATAAACGACATAAACAACATGTACCACCAAACCCTGTAGCCATAGCTGGCTGCATGAGTCACTTCCACAACAGCAGGAGCATCAGTCGGAGTATCAAAATTTTCAATGCACCTTTAAGATCAGCACACTAAATCAAAGATACAGATAATACTTTGCAGCGGTCATCCGGAGCGAAACATTTTATTTTAGGCCACTGTCGAGCAGTGGCATCTAGGGTTGTACAACTCCTCTAGGACAGTTGTGAGTGGTAAAGGCTATGATGGAACATGGGTGACCATATAGAATTTATGGCTGAATCCACGGCTCATACCGTGTCAAGCCATACGGT